TCGCCTTGTTATGCGAGGTCTCGATGTCAAGGCGTTCAGCCTCTTGCCTCGCGATGATCAAGCCCATGATGGGATAATTAACTACACTAATGCAGCATCAATCCATTTCACGCTGATGCAAATACAACATCATATCGGTTAAACACGAAACGCATACGAAAGGAGCGAACTTAACAGCTTCATATAAGTTCGTATCCGTATGCCTCAGTACATAAACCTGCTCTCCGAACTTGTGGCCGGACCCACCACATGATTGCCAACGTTTACGTGTCTATTCCTCTTATCTTCCAGAGCTGTCTATGGCATTGACTTCATTATGACATACCACTTAGAGGCAGATTGCATGGAGCTATCATCATTGAGTTGATATTAGGATGAATAGTTGTTCATGAATGTTCATGCGGAGAGGGTGGCACATATTTCTATCTGTAGCAGCTACAGTGTAGCTTCAGACATTTCGGTCTATGATTAAGTGAATAACCCTTTACTCAGGTCTACCCGCTCAATTGACAGTGAAAGACGCGACTAAGGATTACATAGTAAATGGTATGAAAGGATAGCTATATCTGGAAATTCCAGGCTAGAATGGTATAGCATAGCATACAACAACAAGAAGAAGCATCTCTACCAGGAGTACGTACACAACAATGTATTACTTATACAAGGAAATACATTCTATTTAGAGTAGGCACATCCAAGAACTAGAACTAGTAAAACTAGTAAAACTCCGGCTTCCAAATTCCTGCTGCTGCTGTTCAAATTGTCGGTGCTTAATCAATGCCCTTATTGCTGCTGCGGCTGCTTTGATGCGTTCATACTTCCATCTCCGCTACTCCTTTGTCCACGTGCCTCTCGACGTAGTTCAGAGGGTTTCCCACTGACAGTAGCAGCGAGGAGCTCGTCTCGATTCCTCGCTTGACACTGAACACGGTGGAGCAGCTCCAACCATCTTTCGCCCAGATGCTGGCCATTTTGTGGAAACCTGAATAACGATGTGATACGGATGCCCTTAAACTGTTCATACTGTTACCTCAGCTGTAGCGATCTAGGTGCCGAGGCAAACATCCCTGACTGCTTCTGAGGCTTAATTGAGAGGATCTCGGCATCCCCTTCTGGAGCAAGCGTTACTGTCGACTGCGTCAACAAAGCCGATATTGATCTAAGATGAGCACGTAGGTATTGGACAGATATAGTGGAGTTAATCCCACTTCCCCTCATCATCATGATCATGGTCAAGCTCATCTTGCAGATAGATGTACGCATCAGCTGTAACAGTAACTCTCTGTGTTGTCCACTTGGGCCCACTACCGAACCATCCTGCACCTTTCTTTGTACCTTCACAAACCCATCACCATAGAATCACATCGAGACCTGTCGATTCAAAGTTACTCGGTAGAGCCGGGACTGTGGCCGAGTGAATAACGAGGCCCGTGAGAGGGGACGCATCGTTGTTTCCCGCCTTTCGGGATTCCTCTCGTAAATCGTGGAAGAATGGTCGTCGAGCCAACAATGATTCGACATGATCATTATCTTCAACTCCATCTCGACTAGCAGACCCAGCTTTACGCAGTCCACTAGCTGCTGCTGAATTGGCACCAGCTAGTCGGCGAAGGAACGAGCTCTGACGAGTACCTTTGTCGTTAGACTCTCGGCCGGGGCTCCTGAGCGGTGGGGATGGCCCAAGCATCCTCATCAAGCAAACCATCTCTGGGCTGGTGGCGATGATGGATTTATTCAAACTAGGATCATCTCTACGCGGGGATGCCGAGTTAGAGTTCTTCCTGACAGATGATATCCGCAGTGCCGCTACGGCATCGATCTGGCCTGAGCCGAGACAGATCATGCGACCCCGACAGGATGGAAGGTATCTTCTTACCTGTGGCGGATAGTGCGGCTTCAGTAAGTTCTTCAGTGAGGACCCGTTGTTGATCCTGTGCAGCAGAGCTGACGTGTAGCCAGAGTTGATACTGTTTCGTAAGCCAATGGCGTAGTACAGATGTGGTATTCTGAAAAGACAGGCTTACCGTCTTATACACCGAGTAGTTGATCGAGTAGTACCTGTTCCCGCCAAGACTCAGCTCTGTCTGCTGCAGCTACTGCTGACACTAGACGAGCCTCTACCATATCCCGCTTCTGTGCTGCTTGAGCAACAGCCTTCCGATAGGTCAATTCAGTAGACCATCGGTCGGCTGTTCCAACAGCATGGGTGAATCGAGACATGAACATTCTCTCATGTTCTTTCCATGCTCTCGCGGCAACTTCCTCTGATGACGCGCATTCTGTAATAGCACCATCGAGGTCCTTCAGGATCTCTTCCTGAAATCAGAGCTACACCTAATTCCAAAGTGTTTCCTCATGAGCACAACGGATATGATGGTTTTTGCATTAGAAGCCATCATATCGCCATGATCCCCTTCCCAACTGCCAGTGTACTACCATCCTCCCTTTATAATCGACCTCTACTTCTTTGAGGCCCTTATCAATGAGAGTGGTCTGTGTAGCCTCATTGAAGTCGTGCAATAGTTTGCCGCTCCGTCTAGAGTACTCATTCCAGTTATTTGGGTCTTCCGGCAATGCCTAAGTGAATGCGAAGATCCAGTGGAGATGTGTATTGACGTTGATCACCTCTAAAGCCTGGGCATATGCAAGATCAGCTTGGATCCGCGCAACGAGGAAAACACAAGCGTCCTGTGTTTCTTTCAAGCCATGATCCATGACCTTCCTCAGTTGTACACCTACACCAGCATGGCAAGGACAACCTAGGCAGATCTAGTATTACAGAGCTCGGCAACCCTTTCAGCCCACGATGCCGCCGAAGCCTGCCTATTAGTTTCCCACTCCCGCAGCGAGGCCAATCCCTATTAGCAGTGCTTTTGTAGGATATGCGACATCCCCCCTACCTCTAGTCTCAGAGACTCCAACTCTCTAATTTGTTCAGGCATCGGTGATAAGGAGGCCGAAGCTTCTGATACAAGCTGTGATTCCTTACTAATAGAGGGCTCCTTATCGGTAATAGTCGACGAACTCATGATAAACTACGGTTGAATTGCCTATCTGACAGACTGAACACAACGGTAGTGGTATCGCGAAACAAGGCATGAACAAAACTGGGATATTAATTAACCTTGTGCTGCTGCTGTTGCTGTTGCTGAGCGGCGAGCTCTGAGACATCCAATTCTTGACTGGCCAATAGTGAACGTGCTTCACTCTCGAGTTCTCGTAATTCACATATGAGTTTGGCTATCGTGCTGCCTCCACTTGGCTCCTCGAGATCGGTCGTACCGCTAGGATGCCCGCTATCAATCTCGTTGTTCACTCCCATCTGTGAGTCCCCCGATGTCTGGTCAAACCGTGAGGGTATATTAGACTTTTGCTCATCTACAGATCTCAACACGCCATCTGAGGCTTGCCTCTCACCACCGGACTTGTCTACAGCAAGCTTTGCCACTAAACCCTCAGCCGCTGTAGCACGTCGTTCAGAAGATTCTAGCATAGCTCGAGACTCTACTATCGCTGCATGCATTTGAGCTACCATCTTAGTGAGCCTAATCCAGCACAGATCCCCACCTATCGTGATGTGATCCTCACCTATCGTTTTCCTTAGCCAAAGCTTTCGCTTCCCTTTGAGACACCTTAAGCCTCCTCTTAGCTTCATCAAACTCCTCTGCCAGATCTATAAGCTTCGTCTCCACTTTCACAACATGGTCTCTAGTCCTCTCCTGGTAATACCTTACAATCGATCATATATGACAACAACAACGCGTGACCTCCTCATCCTACTACTACATAATCTCATCACTCGCCCGACTGTGCGCCGCTTCAACTGCAGATAGTCGTTGCCACAAGCGTTCCAAGGCCACACTAGTCGAGTGAAGTACTTCTTTGATACATGCGTTACTGTGTGTGTGGATGAGCCCTGCGATGGTAGACCGTGCAACTCCACATTGCTGTTGATATCGTGCCTATATACGAAGAGTGTGGACAAACGAAGCAGAGTGACATAAGAGACGGCCGATACATTGGTTCGCTTCACTATCTCCAGACACTCGTCCTGGATCGCTTGCTTCTCAACGCTCAATTTCACTGCCTCATGTCGCCATGACAAATCGGCTGGGGATCTGTTATCACCTGAATGATCCCATCATCGAATACAAGTCAACACGAACATTCCGACATGCCGTTGCATCTTGCAGTTGTATAACCCGCTGTAAGCTTGTAAGCTGTGCCAACAACGCCTCCTTGCTTGTCCATGATCCTTCTAAACGTGATGGGCTCCTAGGAGCTTCCATTAGGAGTATCGATGGAAAAGCTTCAATCAAATATCAATGCTGATCTAACTTGAAGAATTCGTTCGGACTCCAAAGTTGGGAGGGTCCAAGTTCAACCCCAAGGGAGGACACTTCTTCGTCAGCGGCGGAGCGTCAACAGAGGTCATTCTTCATACGCGTCCACATAGGTTCCTCTATGAAGCATTAATATAAGGTTACACGATGGAGTGCCACGGCGGCAGCGAGACATGCACGCAAGCACATCCATATCTAACGATGACACCAGGGAAGTGCTGCTGACGGTGCTGAGTGAGAACGAGAGATTAATAGAACCGTAGCCTAGTCTGCTAGTGATGCCAAGAGAGTAGTATCGGGCAGCCGACCGGTTATACCGTGCAATATGCTACTCTCAACCAGTAAGCGCCTATTCGTCCCCCAGAGTTCCGGACTTCTAAGCTTTTTCAACCAGTTGTAGGTATGGCAGTGAAGGGAATAGTACCATCTTATCTCTGTTGATGGTGAGTATGGGAGGGCCAATCGTGCAAGATAGGTGCTATCGGAATGCTGCATTATGATGGAAGGGTGATATACGTAGCTGTATCTTCAACTCATGTACCGTGGAGCTATATTTTCCGATCCGGAACTAAGTGTCGCGTTGTGGAGTAGCAGGCAAGAAGTGTTGATCATGGTTTCTAAGATAACGATGCTTTTTAAGTGTGCATGTATCTCGGTGGCAAGTGGGGTACCCTAGCGTAGGGACTTATCCCTCATATCTGTTAACTCCCCGGGAGAAGTACCTATTCAGATTGTATTACATGTTCCGCCGTGTAGTATGGCAAACCTGCCGGGCGCAATCAGGGCAACTTAGCCATCATGCAGTGCCCGCTGGTTATGCAGGAGGCGTTGCATCCAGTGCCACTACGCATTTGGCCTCCCATGAACTCCGAGGCTCGGAAGCTGTATCCAACTACCATGACGATGACACTATGAAACAGCTGTGGAAGGATGCAAAGTTGAATCCTAGATCGGAGGATTCCTGGTTGAAACTCATGGAGGCCCTGATAGTTAGGGACGAGGTAATAGTATCGGAACTGCAGGTTCCGACGGAACTGCAGTTAGTCGACTGTATCTGGTCGTTGTTATTGAGGAGTCACTCGTGTTTCAGAAAATGAACAAGTTGCCGTTGGAGATATTACCAACACTAGCGCAGCCTCTAGCAATGGAACGGCTCCTCGTATCTCTTGGTAGAGTTTTGGTACCGCAAGAGGGAGCTGAGCTACTTCGGAGAATGCCTCACCTCATTAATCAACAACAGTGGTCTGGCGATTTTGAGGTCGGTATGGTCTGTAGGGGTCTCTCTAGATTATTCCAAAACCAAGTTGGCTATCAAATGGACTCGACTGTGCTTGATAGTATGCATCATGATATATGTCGAGCCCTCTTCACTGACGACGTGCGCCTGATACTTAAGAAGCCTAATGTTGCTCTCGAGGCTGTCAACTTTCTCTTGGTGCGGCTGAACAGTCTGGAGGAAGATGACGTAGAGAAGATGGTGCTACCGTTATTGGCCATAGTGCACAAGACATGTAGAGAGGGTGGATTCAGCGCCAAGATGCAGACCTCGTTATTACCAGTCGTGGCGGTGCGTGCTAGTATTAAGTGTGGTTCAACACTCCAATTGGTTAATGAGATCTCGGAGATGGCCTTGGAGGCTGTCGACGCTTTTGGGAAGAAAAGGCGGATAATTGGAAGCACTTCCAAGGTCACCGAACGAGTTGCAGCGGTTGAGGCCATCCTCTGTGTTATACATTTGAATCCTTCCCAACTAAACTGCAACATGGTGATGAAGTTACAGGAGACAGCATTGACCGGTATGGATCTGGCTTCATGGGCAAGTGCTGTGTATAATACTCTGGATAGTGGAGCTCTCGATCGAGGTCAATCTCTACTCAAATACGTAACGCTCTCTACAATACATCCGCGGTTCCCAACACGATTACCACACGATCCTGATGAAGCTGAGGAATGCCTACTCTTACTCCTGAAAAGTGCGAAGAAGTCAAGATTTTCACCACTACCTTTTCTGCGGTGGGCGTTGAAGAATTCGGGGGGTAGCCGTGCTGCTAAGGAGGAGATTCTTCGGATGTTGCCTGAGTGGGCTAGTGAGAGAGCATCTCTGAATAATGAGCTGCATCCAGGAGCAAATACCTTGGGAGGGGAGGACGCAGGTCTTGCTGTCGATTACCTTACCATTAGGGGTTGTCCAGCTGGCCTCGAGGGAATATATAAACGAATGGGTACTCACAATGGTAAGAACTACTATATCAGGACTGAGCCTCGTAAGGAGGGGCCCATGTCTTTGTATTTCACAGGGAAAGTCTGGCAGCTGGGCGCCAGTATGCATATCCCAGGTGTACGATCTGCATATCATTGCATGTCTAATGGTGATGGTCCACCTATTGGGATCGAAGGATGGATAGCATATAATGCTTCAACTGGAGGCTGGCATCCCATGCACGGTTTTGTGGCTCTCCCTGGTGTAGACAGGTACTCAGGCTAGATCCTTGCATGGAAACAAGACACGGTACCACTTGATCTTGCTACGCTACCATTGTTACATGCACTGTCTGGCCCATGGGTGGTGCCACTAATGTTTTTGGTGACACGTTTGCGTTTCTAGAGCCAATCGATTGTTCAAGTTTGATACTAGTACGATGCGAACGAATCACGTCAGATCAGGAGAGTGTTGGGCCACATTTTGCACTCATGTGCACATATCAAGTAAATCTCCCACATGTATGAAATATTTATTAGCTATGACTGAGTATTATTCATTCATCGAGCTAACAGCATGATCATGCCCGTTAACAGTCGTTTGTGACATTCTTCGTGGAAAAGTTAGGTCATATCTGACAAAGGTTTACCATCCGGATATATTTGTGTACTCATCTCGATGATGCCGTGTGCCGTTGCAAGTTTTGATGACCAATTTGGTGTATATCCAGCATGTCCATTCAACAATTTCGAATTTCCTTTCTGCCTGGCGTACGGACACATCTGCAATCTGGCCGACCAACCCCCATTTCTCCAGTTCTACTGCAACACAAACGCCTTGTATTGAGACCTTGCTCGAGGTGGCACACGCATACATGCATGCTCAGGAATACGATCATAATGATTCGTCAGTGAATCGTCGAACAAGGCTACTGCGTGGTGCCCATTTCTGAGACAAGAAGTACATGGACTCGGGTATGTTTACCATTTTCCCACCTCGAATTTGTCAGCCTTAGGGAGATCGATATTGTGGATGTAGATGCTTTGATCGGTACCAGCAGAGACAACTTGGAAGTTAGATGGACTATCTCGCTCTCGCCACGAGATGGACGACACCGCCCCACGAGTCCCCGCGAGGCTCAGGCTGGTTGGAGTTCAAATCAGCAACAACCAACTATTAGGAGCTTACTGCGCTTGTACACATCCAAGAGCATTCCTCTCCGCTTCGCAATCCTTCATGTAGTTCAGTTTAGTCTGGCACACTCCTAACCTCGAGGATATTTGCTTCTTGGTTGCCTAGTAAAGACAAAGAGAGACTCGACAAACTAATAAGAAACAACTCAGTTGGCTCATACTTGGGCTTTTTTCTTCAACATCTCAACAGGGCTTTGCAGATCCTCCTTGATAGCGTCCAGTTCTTTATTGATGCGGTTGTGTTCCCTCTCCAAATGGCGCTGTCAATAACAAAATATGAGCGTGATACCTTCAATCGTGGGAATACTATCTGATCTTGGATTATCTCCATTTCATCTATAATCCACAACCGGATGCATCCGTCCTCCGCACCGGAAAGGAAGTATCTCGAATATGGTCAAGTATATGAAGGAACTGTGCATGATTCTCACTTTGCATCATGCTTATCAGAGAGTACAATCGTCCTTATTGCCGAAGTGTGTCCAAGATAACGTTGAACAGGTCCCTTCTAAAACCATATCATTCAACTCAAAGAATAATGGCATGGCACTGCTCACTTTGATCTGCCGCAGATCCCACCTCTTACAACAAAAGTCACCTCCGCAAGTGATGATCTCATACTCCCCACGAAAAGCGACATCATACCTGCACACGAGCTCCCAACGTAAGAGGGAAATGCTTCTCTAGGTGCTGACACTATATCAGTGGCTGCGGCCTCTTCTATAATAGAAAGAGGTCTGGTCGTTGGTGCAGCCTGTAAGAATAAGCTAAGTCCAGAGAGTGCGGAACCGATGTGTGGCTCACCGAAATATCGGTTAGGGCAACATCACCATCGTTGCCACAGGACACCACACGTCTGGCATCCTCACTAAAGTCAATAGCTTGAATGATGCGGGGACTCCGACGTAGCTGAAAGGCACCGGAAGATCGGGTGAACGGTATCGAAGGGCTTACCTCAGACAATAACTTGCAAGTCCTTACGTCGTGCAAAAGGACTCTACCAGACTTGCTTCCCGATGCGATATACCTAAAGTGGACAACACGAGAATTGAAGACCTTCTTGAGAAGAGGCATCACATTTCGCCTGGGGAAATCGCGGTGGCGAATACAGGAGAATCCTGCCCCTTCATCTGAGCCTTCTCCGTGTTTTTATTATCGATATCCAACACAGACAAGTATCTTATGAAGGGAGATATAATCAAATTAGCGGGATGCGAATACATCTGTTCTTCCTTGTCGATAGCCTTACCGAAGCCCATCACGGCCCATGTTCCTGCAATACAGGAAGTGGAAGAACCAATGAGGGATAGCAGTGTTACCCTTGGGAGATGCGGTCATGGAGTAGATCGGTGAAGGATAGTCAAACGAAGCGAGAGGCTCGAGAGGACCGGAGACATCCCAGATCTAAGAATCGTTAACAGTCAGCAGACTGCAACTCGCCTCGCATGGTACCTTACCTTTACCGTACGGTCGAGAGAGGCGCTGATGAATCGGTTGCGATCCAACCATTTAACAGACTCGACACTCTCCTGGTGCTTGGATATCTTATGCTCACCTGACATGTATATGGAGAACTCTACCTTACATGCTTGAAGACTGTTGCTCTTCACTAGACGAGACGAAAAGGTTACGTGAGATAGTTTGAGGAATACGGAATCTTCGACCAAAAGTCGGATCCTCGGATGCCATGGTCTTGTAATCGTAATATTTTTGGTTCTGCTTTCCCAACAAATCACCTACTCCAACAGCACTCGATAACATACTATTTACCATAGTAATTACGGAATTCGTCGGGATTAGTGACCGTCGAGAAGAATTTGACGAACTCGTGAGGCTCAATAGTGCCTGATAAAACATCCAACCACAAATGTCCAGCCACACCCACTTCTCACCGTTGCGATCAGTATCTATGCTTCTCAAGGCCTTTCTAACGAACGCATACGTACCTGTGTGATATGTACAACATCATAAACCAACGATGAGGTCATTGCCTCAAGTAATGCTTACACTTTATGCCAAGCATGCGCATAGCCTCTCCGAGCTCATCAAGATCGATACTCCCAGAATGATCAGTATCTATTTCTTTGAAGATATGCAGTAACTTCTCTTCATCCACTTCTTGTCCAGTAGGTGTACCAAACTTAGGAGGGAATAGTTTACTGGCTGAGGACCTCCGACCACCAGGACCTTCAAATGCGTTAGCCATAGTCAAGAGGATCACTACGGATAGAGTTGGTCTCAACCTCAACGGGAGTGTCGAGACAAAAGTGTAGTATCCTGTGTTGTTGTGCAAATCATTGCCTGTGAGCGATCACGGCGGCGAATCTGGTGGTAACCCGCGCTCGCTATGATTTTCGGAGATTTAACCTCTGTACTTTTTTTCGTTCCAGCATATTACAACACGGGGATGCTTCCGAAGGCAGCGGAGCGGGGCGTTAAGGTGGACCGATATTTGGTAGGAAGGGTCGAGTCGAGACCGACAAGCAGTTACACGTTTGCATCACTTGGAGGAAGCTCATGCCAGCTGTGAACGATAACGTGATGATGAGCAATTTCCTTATGCACGAGCTAAGAGATATTATAGTACGGCAGAGGAATGCTAGAGTAGTGAAGATCCCGCTCGACGCAACCGAATACTACGGCAATACACACACGACTATACACAACACGTACTGAGGTCCTCTCCGAAAACCGTATCGATTGCAAATGTCTGGTTCCGCGAGATACGGCTATGGGGCCAAGACTGGCTTGTCACTTGAAACTGAAAGAACCCATACTGGTGAATAGAGGCCTCAACTCGACGTGCTCGCACCTATTGCGCATCACGAATGGAATGAACTGAACGCATGGGATGCTATCATGGGAACAGTATGATCCATAGTGGGAATCCCTCCACCATCAAGTAGGCCGTATCACCTCAAAGATTCTCCAGTATATCAACGCATATGATCAGGATCGAGCCGCGTACGCGATTGCCCTCGGACGAGCAATGGCGACGATATCGGTGCCGAGAACGACCACACAGCTCAAAATTCTCGGGGAACTTATGGACATCGATTCTTCCCCGAGAGTTGCGTTTTTCCCTCTGGGCTTGTACATGCTCTTCACGCTCCCCTGCCAGTGTGATGAGTCTCCCCACCAACGGGTGGCTGAGTGATACAGCGAGCTGGTGGAGGATGTGAGCAACACGGTTTGCATACTTTGGACGATCACTGTTTTGATGCTCTCGGAGCTCCTCGAGCTGTGTCAGTCTTCCATGTAATCTCTCGGCAACATCAGGTCTCGAAATTCTCAACGAAGGAGGTCATAATAACACTTTAGTTTCCATTCGCAATTCATGGGTGTACGGACATTCTATTCTCATGCCAACTTGCAACACGGATAAGTCCTAGTCACTCATTAGTAATGAGAGAACACACCACGTTATGAGAGGCCATGGCGACAGTTCTCAGAGCCATGATTGTTTCCAGCAGTGCTAAGCTCACCAATGTCATGAATATGCAGTTATTCTGCGGAGGCTTATGGTAAACCACTACATCAAATCAATTGATGGTTGTAGGCGCCTATTCTTAAATGGCGCAATGAGTCGGAAGATCCACTGTTTGGCGAACCATAGATGGGTGGCATCCACAGAAGATGATATCCGTCTGGTATCACACCTGCCATCTGTCGAACAGGAGCGAATGGTGTTGTGTTTGGAGATGGTATGCTACAGTAAATATCCATGTCACACACTTCGGGCAACACATCTATATCGTGGTAACCAGATTGAGTTTCAACGTGTAGCTTGATTCGTTGGAGTTGAGGGTTTACCAAGGAGGGACTCTCATAACACAAAATGATCCAAAAGGTTCACAATTAGAAGCAAGCCATGCAACACATCATTTTGTCCCTCTATAGAGCACGTCCTTGAGACTCCATACACCAGGGGCAGGTGCGTACTTTCTGAATGAACCTGTTTGGGTAACAATCGTCAGAGCCTTGTCACAAATAGCCGAGAGTAGCTCACTCATTCCAATCATCTCTGTTAGCCATAGCACGACAATTGGTACATTCGACTTTGGACGATGCCAGCACTGGATATCCAGTTACGACACAAGGTGAGTATCTGAGGCCTAATGCATACCACGATATTCTCGACTGTGATGAGATCAGGGCTGCCTGCCTGCAGTCGCATTTAGGGCAGACTAGTGCAGCTGCGTAAATCTCATTCTCGCATCCGTCACATTGACGGGTTTTCATCTGCTGTTGGACCCTGTTGTCAACAGACCAACCCAGAACCTACTATACATCGCCCTGTTTACGCGTTCTGGCTTCCTTACATACCCAGTCTCGCGCCTCTTCTACAAGATGATCATCTCCGTGAACAGCATGAGGTAGGTTGATATCATACGGGGAAGGAATATCAGTATCCAGGAAGTCCTGATAAGGAGTCTTGGAGAGGCGATGAGTTGTCTATGCCTCCCCACAGAGTTGTCAATGGTGGCGCTATCCGGGTCTCTAATGGCATCCACAAGATCAAGATATCGATTTAAGAAGAAGAATGCCATGGATATGTCGCCACACCGCTTACACTCAAATCCCTACCAATGAGGGGAAGATGCAAGCGGAAAGCGTGGTAGATCTACTACAGCATTATAGAACACCCTATCAACAGGCACTAGATTGCAGTATCGGCAGAGGCTCACAGCTGCCTTGCAAATTATGCTTCCATCGATTGCATTATCTATATGAGGGACTCATAGCGATCTGAATATCGATCACGATATCACTTCGGCATACAGATCCTATCCAAATTAGATGTGCCACAATCAAATACTCAACAAGACCATTGGCATCGTCCCTTGTGGCGGCTTTCATGAGGGCATTTGGTGATCTGGATGACGACGAATCATGGCCACTGAGTAACTGATCTCCATATATTGTCGAGCTGGTCTACCAGACGAACCCTCTTTACTTTGAGTAGTAGATTGCGTAAATGCAGGAGATCCGTTTCGTAGTCCTTCTCCAGGGCTACAGGTGTGTAGTTCGATATCAAACGGGATGCCATGACTCGATAAATCTGCATCGATTCTGGATCCTGAAATGGAAGCTGGCTTTCATAGGATCATGATGATGAGCTAGCACGTAGTACATTGTATGGTCCATATCGCAGTAAAGTGTTGCATGCCTCATTTGATTTATTCTCCGATACCAGTACCTATAAGATGATAGTTGGTCTCTCTCAACGAGAGTGAAGGGGATAGGAAGTAGTATCACTTTAACGTATTGTAACACGTAGTGCTGCAGGTGTTGAGGAGCCGAGGTCTCAGCTAGGTTCAAGCACTTCATCCATTCGTTCGACCTCGCATACCTGAATAACCCTTGGGTGATGATGATACTCACAATCATAAGGGAGGGCAACCTTACGCATCCAGAGCATGAACAGTATCCCCTCTGCCTGCTAGTTGATCTGTCTTACCGCTTTTAACCAGCGCAGCTCTGTGTTGTTCCTCGATCGATGCTGTGATTGACGGCAGCTTTTGTTTAGTCAGCTCAATTGCACGCTCCTGGCCAACAAACTTGTAGCTGCGCATCTCGGCGTCATACCCACCCATTCATCAGCCTTCACCAAGCAGTCGACGGCCTCACGAATTCTGTCCGTACTCTCGTAGAGCTCCGCAGCTATGCCAAAGCGCCCCAGAGATTCTAGCCTTTTCGCAGCTTTATTAGCGACCTCGGTATATCTGAGTCCGGAGTCTCAGCCTGCATGGAGCCGAGACCGAAGATGGAGCAACAGTACCGTTGAGCCAGGAAGTGTGTAGCGACCCTCACAGCACTGTCCACCAGTACGTTCTCTATCTGTTCTGCACTTAGATCGGCATCTAGGTGATGAGGAATGGCTCAGACTTGAGCATAGGGTGTTCGTCTACTTGAAACCTCCAGGTATACATCGATCGCCTTAGAGTACTCTCCGGCTTCTTCAAGGAGCTGAACATCATTCCACAACATTCGAAAGGGTAAGGCTACAACATCGATGACGTATTATCACCTTAGCATGGGCAACCAGATCTCTGGCACTAGATCCCGCCGACAGTCTCGGGCGCTGGGGGGGTGCTTGTTGGCTCGAGCTCATCGTATCGGCAGAACTGCTGTATTTCATTACCTTAATGAGGTAAGGAACATGCTCAACACGTGATCAGATATTCAGCCACCTCTGAGAGAAGGTTAGGACAGTGAGATCGACAAACACGGACAGCCTCTTGGTGCATATCATGGGCTAGATAAACCTGAAGACGGATGCTAAGCACTGGCTGTTGATGTTGTGGCATACCTCGACGATTACTTGAGGTTTGCCAGCCTCAATGAGAGCATTCTCTGCTTCACCCAAGCGGCCTTGATCGATAAGATCTCTGATGAACACACAGGAGCGGGGTCAATAAGACAGGGTAGCTGGTCCAACCTCGCGCTAGCCTCTAGGATGGATATTGTGGAATCTTTATCATTGCTGATCTCGGCAACTCGGAGGGCAGCAGGCTGAGATCATTATCATTGATCATATGCTGTCTAGTGAATTGTTAAGATTACCCAGTCCTTCTGATGAGTATACATTTCAATAGCTTCCTTAGGCTTACTGGCCAATAAGAATTCAGCCTCGGCATCCGCGAATCTGGCTGACATGATGAGCACACTGCTGGGCACACACTGCCTCAGCACCGGCCGATATCTTCAAAATTCATGGCTCGCTTCAGACGGATATCTGGTATCCTATGCTGCCCACCGAATTCCTCAGCAATCGCCATGGCACCGGAATAGTCCTAGGTGTATTACAACATTGTTGGGGATTCCGATGTTGAGTATGTTAGTATTACTTCGAGGCCGATGGAATGATCTATAGCAGCATCGACGAGACGTGTACTCGCTATCATGCGAGCTGCAGCAACGGAATCTCGGCAAGAGGCTTGTGCATGTTCAATAACCACCTTCTCAAATGCGCTCTTCCCTGGCAGGGTTGTACACAGATCACAAGTGTGATTATTCATATCACCTCCGCATGCTTTGGCAACGCGTTTGGCATCCTCCCATCGGCCATTCCGACGATACATCGATACAGCAGACTCCCACATAGTACCGGACTGAGCCGTAACATTCTATACTCACACGGACCGTATTATTGTCCCTTATACCTACCCCCTCACAAAAGTATTTCTCTGCTTTCGAGAAGTTACCCTTTGATTCGAACTGCTCACCAAGGGTCCTATACGTGTCGTCTAGGATCTCGGGCCTATGCTTGCGTATGAGCCTATGATAGCAGATGAATTCTTGAGATTGGCCTACTACAAAGGATACCTTATCATGTTCACATAATCCTCTATCTTCCTGTACATTTCTATAGCTAAATCATACTCATTAGCCACAATATACAACTCTTCTGCTTGGGAGGTATTGCCCTCATTTTCAAACTTCTCAGCCAGACTAGTGTACAGCTCAATTCTATCCTTCTGGGACATATGCTGAGGAGGAAGAGGAGGCGCAGAACTTAAACAGAGACACTAGAGGATAGCCTCACTGCTTTGGCAATCTTTGATGCTTGCTCATGCTCCTGCGCAGTGATATACATTTGAACACATTTATGAACAGCACCGGCAGATAAAAAGCATCTCTCAGCTTTCTGATGCTGCCTGATTCCATAGCCAAATATGAATATTTGTTTCAGGGCGATGATGGTCACCTTGTCGATGAGAAATGATCCCCAAGCTTCTCTTGTAGCACCCTCAGTTCAGGAATTACACTAGCGTCCGGTTCAGAAGCTTCAAATACTCCTAACAGATGTTCTGCACGTGACCTAATGGATACATATATGTATAGGAGATCGAATACCACCGGAAATACATCTACGCCTACCATTGCCGACCTTGGACAGCGGCATCAACCGCTTTCAATGGCTTCTTTGCTTGAGAGAAGTGTTCAATAGCTTTCTCATATTGTCTAAAAAACCAGTTGTATACCACTTGTAACTGCTATTTGTGATACCTATTATCCATAAGATGATTTCCCCATTCCTCATGTAGCATTGGCACTGCAGCAAATTGTCCATGCTTAGTGGCTAGCTCAATAGCTCGATGATATGCATGACCTCGTCTATACGAGTCCATTGCAGGTTGGAGCATGCCTGGACATGAATATGACATGGTAAAACCCTGTGGTTTGATAGTAACCCATTTTTTCGTATAACTCTCCAGCCTTGCCATCGCATCCAACAGCCTTTAACGAGCTCGCTATCTTCTGGAGTAGCTCTTGAGAGTAATTCATCTGCTAACAACCTCTTGACGTTAGCCAAACTATGTTCGATACAGAATGCTTTGCAACAACGCTCGCAGCTCGCGCAGCCATCCCGCTCTTCAAGAAGAGAGCTATGGCTTTCTCATAATTCCCTTCCCTCTCCTGCAGGTCTCCTGCCAAGTCTTCTTGGTGTCTGAGCTCGGGTGCTTGCAGTTCTGCAACCCCCAGTGGCATACGTCTGTAACAGCCACTGTAGATAGTCTGTTTTGAGGCGCATGACATCGGGATAGCAGTGATGCTCTGCCAGACGGATAGCCTCATCGTACCTCAAGTTAAGCTCGTCTTGCGAAAGTTGGCTCAGTCAGGACATGGCGAATGACTCTAGCCGCCTCCTCACTTGTGAATGCTTTGATACATGCGTATGGCATCTTCAAGATGACCATGCTCAATGTAAACTTCCTCTGCTATAGAGAACTGCTTCTTCATCACAGCAATAGCAGCCATCACAGTTGGATGATGTAGCCCGCTGTCAATGTCTGGTAATCACCATTGTGATAGCAGGTACGGTTGCCACCAAGTCACCTTTCACATCACCCGCACAACTCCGTGCCAGGCGCTGAATCTTCCGCAATTCCCTGTGAAGCCAAGACATTCTCGAATACCGAGTGGAATCCATTATCGGACCTGCTCATCTCAACTTCTCCTAGAACAGCGTAGCAGCGTTCGGCCACAGGCAGGCAAAGTGCGTTCAAAGCAACCAATCCTAATTGGCGCCACATACCTGACAAGTAGACGTGGACAGTAGAGGAGAGAATGCTCCTAGTATACCTGTGGTCTCTGGTCCAAGTGGGAGGTATTCCAAGACATCAACAGCCATCGCGAAGTGGCCACGTTCCACAGAAGCAGAAAAGTTAATGAGGGCCTCATCAAGTTCATACTCGACCTACTCATTAGTGTTGCGAGAACAATGATTATGATGTCATACCTGATTGTTGGGCGACTCGTCGACGACAACGACCGTCCGCCCATTGGCACGGATGATGTCTTCGATATCCCCTTTGATTGCATGCTTTGTTATCCTATCTGGGGTTGCTATTGAATACCTGAGGGGTATCGTATCCACAAGAGAGTTGAAAGCAGTGTGGTATGTATAGCCTTACCATACACACAGCTCATCCCTTGATTGAGCTACGACAACATCCGAATCTGGCACCCAATTGACGTAGTTGCAGTCAGATCTAGCCCGACTAGTCATTATGGTTCATTCCGTATCATCCGCTTACAGGAGTGCAAGCCTCTCGTGCTTTTGCAGATCGTACAAGTACAATCTGTGTCGATTGTCCCGGAATAGAAGCCTGTGGGCCGTACCAGGATTAAGAGATAGCCAATCGATCTAATCATAAAGTCCGTGCTATCCATCAGAGATCTAGGACAGCAACCAAGCTGACTTTGCAATCATGGTCGATCGTCGCTAGTGCCTTAGCCTGTCGGACATCATTAACCCGGATTGTGTTAGCATCGAACAGGAATGCCATGATTATAATCTTTTCATGTTGGTCTGTCGTAGGTAGGCCACCATCAGGAGGCGTCTCACCAGGAGTGCATAGACCTGGCAAGTGAACATTCTACTACATTCTATTGTACGACTCGATAAAGGGTATCATCATCATCATCATCCCGACCAAAAATTACAAGATAACATAGGATTAACTACCATGTATATGCGACGATGATGATGATGAGGGCTGATGAGCCGTAACAGATCGATAGCTTATTAAATGAGGTGAAACATACTCTGTCCTAGCGCAACCCATCACTTCATCATCCCCGTATTCTGAGAATCGATATAGCATAACGCAGAGTGAACGCATGAATCTCTAATACCAATAAGGAGCAGCTCCCCGGATTTGAACGCCATCACCACATCGGGATTATCGAAAAAGAATTTGGTATGAGCATGGTTATTCCATGGAACCTCGAGGATGATGAGCAAGTCGGAAGATACCATAAATTGGTACGTTGATGGATACCTCCGATAGCCGGTTCGAGTCCATGTTGCCTAGGAGTAGAGTATCTCGTGTAAATGCCACAATGAACTGGTCCTAAAGGATTGTTTGAAGGTACGATGTTGCAGTCCTGGTCCACCATTACATGATGTATAGTAACCTTGGTTATCTCACTTCCAGTGCTACTCTTGAATACTATAGGAGTAGGGGATTGCATGCCGCTGCCTGAGCGGATATCGGATTAAGAACGATTAAGAGAGCTCATGTAGTTCACTCCTAGCAGCATCAGTTCTCCTCCTCACGGTCACTTGAGAAGGCGAGGTGTAGAGTAGCTCCCACTCTCCCCGATAACTAAGGTATGGATTGGAGCTCACGTCGAGTTGAAGAAGCTCTCTACAGTATTCTCTTCCAACAAACATCAAACTGATCGACCTCTCCTGAGAGATTCCCAACGTATAGCTTGGCCCCATCAGGTCGCCAAGACAGACAGGTCAGAGTGTGTAGTCCGGGTATAGGACCGATAATGCATACCCGAAGAGAACAAAATGTTCAGCGTCGATGTTGCGCTATGGCAGCAGGTAGACGCTACCTCGGACCAGTCTCGTGTGTCAGTGAGACTACGACTGAATAGGGCGATGACGCCCTGGCCTCCGACAGCTAGAGTGTCCCCAGGAGGGTTGAATGCACAACAACCGAGCTGGCCTGAGGTAACGACGACGACAAGGAGGTTACTCTCTGACTGCAACAGACTTGTACTGGATAGATGCCCTCACCTTTCCCAAGCGATGGATGACCAGAGTAATCAAACGTGCCAATCTCACGACCATCATCACTATCCAAGAATCTCAGCGAATGGTCTGTTCCAATCATGACAAGCGAACATAGGCCCCATGAGACTGCGGTCACTGAGCATATACCAGAAGGTTTCACCAGCTGGGATATCTGGGGGACACCCGTCCCTTCAGACTCGAAAGTATAGCGGAATAAGCTTCCATCAACATGTGCTGCAGCAACACTATAGCCGTCGAGACTCTGGCAAAGGGATACGACAGGTGCTTGGTCGTGGTAGATATTGGAACATTTCTGGTTTCTGCAATTAGCCAACCGCAAGTGGCCATCAGCTAGTCCCACGACTAGCTGTGTCGATTGTGAGGATGGCCATGCAATGCACGTCACAGACGACGGCTGTGGCCACTTGTTGCAGATACTCTTCTTATCCCCCCAGTTGATTCCAATCTTATACACATACACGATGCTGTCACTCTGCCCGACCGCCACACGAGTGCCATCCGGTGAGAAGCTCATGCAGGTGACCATATACCTGCAATCATTTACTCTCAAAGTATTACTCAAGCACCAACCTCATGTTCTCCTTGTCATGTGGCTTGGTTGGAAATGTGTCTTTTACTTCCCCTAGTTCGTTCAACAAATGCACCTGCACGATGATGCATAGCATACATTCCCTGTTTATACGTCCTGCTGGACATCTTTGGTGGCTACTTTGCCATCCATCCCAACGAGTGCCATTCTGTCAGCTTGTGGACTCCAGCTCAAGGCCGTAACCTTACCGAACCAGTTCTTACCGGGGATGAGGGTACCGCTGTGCTCGACTTGCATTGACCGAGATTTGTAACACTGTCGGAGGGAAGAGCTTGGTATAAGGTAGGCCGAAGACGTGAGAGGGAGTAAGGGAAGCAGACTCGGATGTGAACTGCGGCTTCTTGATGTTCATAGGCAGAGGAGCATTGCCAGTTGTTGACGACCACCCGGCGGGCGCGTACTTGAAACCTCGGACCCGCATGACGATGTAACGAAAGATTTGGATATTCGTCACACTGCGTTGCTCAGTGTCGTTGGCTACTACATGATATCCCGATTCAAGTAGATCTCGTGGATTCTCGACAAGGCGAGAGTATCTCTGAATCGGACATCACTAATAGGCCATGATTCACAGTTAAACAAGTACAGTCAGTCCATCATCTATGGTACCGTCCCTCACTCGATTAACCGTGGTTTTGTCCCTGGCATTCGACGTCATCGTACATGGAGACTTACCCGTCCATTGTCTACGGCATGAAGTAAGAATCGAGGAGACTGATTCAATATATGAATCGATACGTCCATGTTCGGATCCTAGGGTTAAATTCTTGGGTCGGTCATAGACGTCTCCCTCAGATTTTTGGTGATTGGATATTTCACCTTGGACCATTAAGTCCGGAAAGATCTAGCTGTGCCCACTCGGTAAGATAAACATACGCAGATACTCTATTATACGAGTGCAACATAAGGTCAGCTGTCGATATCACTGTTTCAGCAACCCGACGTTAAGTATCGGGAACCAGGAGAGGATCGAATGCCTCCTGGTCAAACGGGTATTCTGCGTCTGACATTCTCCAATCCAAATAGAGTTACAATGTCATCCGATCCAATGGTCAGGGGCAACTGGACGATGGTATACGATGAGGGGTTTGAAGTAGGCTGGCCTGATGCAGTGATGCCACTGGGATGAGCATTTCTGTTTCAGACACGAATAGACGATAAAGTATTCTTCGCCTTTTCTAACTTTGATTTGTCTTGGGATGATGATGGTCGCCAGCACAATATCTCACACTGTGATAGAACCATGCTAGGATGGTTCACAACAACCGATCAAACTGAGTTCGGATGTTTCTATGGCCGAAAAGTAACATTCAATACGAGTACTTCGTCTTAGCTCATCATGGAGAGTGTTGATGCGAATAGTTTGTGCCATAGCAGGAAGCATTTCTACACGACCCATAGGTTAGATTGAGCACGTCTTTTGGCGAAGTCGAGGTGCAAGAATTCACGCCAATATACGATAAGCCCTTGGGAATGGATTACCATTCAGCAGTTGTAAGACTCAGATGCGCAACTACACCTGGATCAATCGGCCCCTCAGGTCGCAAGTTTGAACAGTAGACCTGGTGCCACATGGAAGGCGGCTACCTATGCATGGCTTGTTGGAAAGTCCCTGCGGGAGCTCAACAGAATGTCGGGGTTGAGGATGAAGTTTCATTCGGAGGACGCAAATGTTGACCACGACAGCCGCCTCCAGAAAATTCGGTTTGTGCCAATCTTCGCAGTTACCCACCTCACATTGGAGCCTTTGTTAGGAACCGTCGACGAGGGCGCACGGCACTACATCACACGTCTTTGGTAGACTCGGAGCTGTCGAATACAGAAGGCACACTCCCCGACAGTCTGGATTGGAGGAACGTTGAAGGTGTGCTTGATGGCACCTGTATCGATTACCGAGTTTGTAGGTGTGAACTACATTGAACCCGTGATGAATCAAGGCTCCTGTGGATCATGCTACGCGATTGCAACTATGCGCATGCTGTCAGCTAGGCACAAGATACATACCCGAAATATCACTGCGGTCCCATGGAGCATATCGTATCTGTGTGTGAAGTAGCTAGATGTCGATTGTTCGCCTTTTAGTTTCCCTCTGTACTGTGCCGAGTATAACCAAGGCTGTGATGGTGGATTCTCCTTCCTAACGAGTAAATGGTCTTCTGATGTCGGCCTCTTACCAACCTCGTGTGCCGAGTAGGGCCATCGTTCGTTTGTGGTATTGTCGATGGTCTTCATCCCTCTCGAGATATACAGCAGAGAACGGGAAGTGTGAGATAACATGTGATCCATCCTCTTTACCCAAATACCGGGTATCAAACTATCATTATGTTGGTGGATACTATGGTGGCATCACCTCCTCAGCCCAGGTCAGTATCGAGCCATGTGGCATTGGTCGCTGAAGCATTCCTGCTGATCATAGCTTGGCCTCATTCCCATCAGATAATGAAAGAATTGGTCGATGACGGCCCTCTTGTGGTGTCTATAAAACCAGCACATGACATGATGTACTACAGAAGCGGAGTTTACCGAAGCGACCTGGAACGAGACAGCTATCATCGTAATCTACTCATGTCTGAATCCTGAGTAACTCAACTTAGGTCCCGAATGGGAAGAGGTTGGCCATTCCGTCCTATTGATAGGATACGGCGTAGATAATGGGGAAGATTATTGGCTCATACAAGTGGGGCTTGTATGCTCATACGAGCTTCAAGGACAATACCAAAAATGTGTTCTAATATCCGCTCGGTGTTAGAATTCCTGGGGTCCTGAGTGGGGAGAAGATGGATACCTACGTTTAGCTCGAGGTATGGATGAATCTGGAGTTGAGAGCATAGCAGTCGCGGTAAGTTGCCTCGTGCTAGAGCTCTATGTATGTATGTTGCTCAGGCGGATGTTGTTGAGGATCAGAGACCTCTAGATATGTTCAAGAACTTCGAGATCAAGCCAATTGAATAACTTGGTAATGCATGTAATGCATATCATACTCCATGCTATTTGACAACATTAATGCGAGCAACCGCATTGAGTTTTATGAACAAGCACGGGTCACATTCCAAAGTGACCATTCAGCGTTGAATGAGAGATTCAAATTACCTTGATGGTGAGTAGCGAATTGTTAAGGCAGTCTTCATTATGTGACCGTTTTCACCTCGCAATTTTCAGCACGTGTTCTGTAACGCCCCATATGTCATTGGTCCATCACATCTCTTAATTACTCTACGTTCGAAACACAACATGCTCTACCACGATGAAAAACTACAGCAAAAAACTCACGGGATATTATCCTACTGGAGCTATCAACCGGTGCGCAGGAGTACGTGAACCTACATAGACGAACCTATTCCGATGAAGAGAGCGCTTACTGTAAGGGTCTTTAGTTGTATTGCTCACCCCAGATTCTGTTTCCACAGGTCCACTCAGCTCGCCAACCTCCAGATTGAAGGCGGCTTCCTCAAAGGGCCGTTGCATTTCACCCCTGAGGCAAACAAACCAGAATTGACAACAAGTCCGAGTTATCGTCGTTATGGACTACCTATCGAAATATCCAAGATCCCCGCCGTTCTTATACGAACCACAATCGCTCCTTGCCATGGCCATCTCGGGGAAAAGACTTTTATCAGCTTTGAGCTTCTCAATCATATCTGAAGACATACAGAGCAACTGATGAAAAACTACACCACCACGTAACCAGACCGACCTTTAATTTCTTTCAATGCCTCGTCATGAGAAATACTAATGTCATGACACGTTCTCCTCGAAACAGGATTCCTCGAGCCTGTATGCTTACATAAAATATGAGAGACGCGCACCTTCTCAGTCATTTGAGGATACTTGAAAACGAAACTGACCCATGAAACGAAGAAGCTCCAAGCCAGAGAGTTTCAGTCGGACAAAGCATCTTGCCAAGGACGAGCGATTTACCAATCAGGCGGGCGAGATTATCATTAGAGTGAGTTACTCAAATGACGTTTACAGTACAGGACTTTGAAACTCGATTAGATACATCAGATGAAACATCACGCACTCGGAAAAGATCAAGATCTGCTTGTATCATGCAATCATTATTCCCCTAATCTGAGGCCAGCCGATCTACTCCTCCAACGAGCGTGCATGCGACGAGTTGGACAAGCACAGCCTACCTTCCGCCACGCCCCGCTCATCGTCGAAGCCTTGCCCGGTACTCGTTTCTCACTTACTGCCCGAAACATCTACATCGCTATGAGCGCAGGCCAAGCGGTGGAGCCGATCAGCAGCAGCATCAATCACCGTTTAGACGCTTGAGCGATTGTGTACTATCTCAATACTTATGGTGAACATAACATATGGCCCATCACGCACCACGACTCGATAAGACCCCAAAGATAGCAATCCTGCCACCGTTGTTGTCGGCGATGAGCTCTCAAAGATGCCATTGTATCACACGAGGAACCATCAGAAACAGGACAAACCTAAGGGGGGCTGAAAAAATGGCTACCTAAGACAGCAGGAATCGGGTCTAATGATCACCCAGACGATGAACTGCATAACACGACACTAAGTGCAGAAACCAACTTGGTAGGAGTGTAGTCCCTTGATAATCTTGTGATCCTTGTTCTCTAGGCAATAATACCAATCCGATTCGGGGCTCACTTCGTGAGGGAGCTAGGATTCGCAGCAAACCTAAAAGGGGGTATCGTGCCGACGACGATAACCTTGATCACAGGTAGAGTATATTACCTGAAAGCTCCGTCAAGGTCTTTAATTTCATTTCGTGAGACCTCGGTCCCGTTCGCGAACCACTTCTCTCGAAACTGGACCTAGTAAGATTGGGATTGAGTAAACGTGCTGGGGAAACCGTGATGATAAAAGGGAAGATGACTTACTCCAGTGCTCTTCATAGCCTGGCTTCTAAATGGCTCTTTGAGGCATTTACGTAGCAGCACAGCCATTTCATTCGTGTACCTTAAAGATGAGATCCTGATGTCACAATAAGGTCACCATCATCGTTACTGGTTATAGGAGACCTTAGCAGCCTGACGCCACATAGCTGTTATGAGCACCAAAAAACTGAGTATTAGTCATTCATTAGTCCACCTCAGAAACACCGACGCAAAGCAATATTTTAATCGAGGGAAAAGTACAGAAAAAATCACTGAAGCAGTACGCACTTGACGGTTGGGAAGGGTGATAGCGGACAATAGACCAGACATCTACTAGGTGGTGATATTGCTAGGCACCAGCTTATCAATCTGTTACCCTTCTAGAGCATAGAGTGCACACAATACTCGCCCAAAGGTAGACATACAAAATGAAAGATTGTTAGCATCAAAACATCTCGATCCTTGGTCCTTTAATAGTAGGGTGGTTGCTGCTGTTGAGGATAAGGTGTAGGAGGATTAGGGTAGGGTGTCATTGGAGGTACCCCGCCAACTGCAGTCGATGGGACTGGATATCCACTAGGCGGCATAACAGTGGGCATACTTTGCATTGGTAGGGGAGCTGCGCCTTGACTCATATGGTAGACGCTAGGTAAAACCTAGTGATGCATAGGTAGAGCATTCAAGCGGAAGAGACTACGTACCGGAGTGCTATTATTAGGAAAGACGGTATTGGACGGCATGCTAGCAGATGATCCTGCACGATAGAGAAGATGGATCAGTGAGGCGAGCATAACTAGCTACAAGGCACAATTGCAACAACTTACCCAACTGGGACTGAGCAGCCATCAATTGCTTCATCCATTTGGTAAGGCTCTTCTCATCAGAAGAACCACTCTTTCTCGAAGCCTTGCGTCCTATGATTGACATTGAGTCACAAGCAGCTGCAGCAGCACTAAGTACCATTCCTCAGTGTACGGGACGAGTTTCGGACCTTTTTGTCCCCAGGAATGGTCTCGTCCTCACCCTCTGGCTCTTTGAAAGGGTTACTCTCCGACAAAGACGGATCGGACCCCTTCTGAAAGCATTTAATACGTTTGAACATATGTAGCGCAACCAAGGGACCAAGAGTTGTTAGCCAGCATAATACCTTCATGCAACCCTTCTTCGGAGAGCCCTCTCCAAAGCTAACATGCTTCTCATTCTGCATCATATCTCCTTTTCCTCCTTTCCTCGGGATATCATCGCCCCACCACTCAGTAGCATCATCGGATCCCCCCTCACCCTCTTCACTGTCCTCATCATCTTCACTATCCTCACTCTCCGAATCGAGCATTGCACCTGCAGTGAGGTCCTCCTATGCGGACACGGTAATCATATAACGATAACACGTCTTGTATGCGTGAATTGTATGCTAGAGTGTAGTAGCACATGACGATGTTTGCTAGCATACATCTAGTGGTCAAGATAGTACTTTCCAAAATGCTTCGTATATCATCAGTAGTGAGAGTCTTGGCGCCAGAGTTAGGCGCAGTAGCCAAACTCAAGGCTGTGACAGGATTGGTTGACAACTGTTCAGATGCAACCTGTAAGAGACATGTAAGCATGAGGCGGATGATCCGAATAAAATAGCTAACCTGCTGCATTGTGATCAAGCGTAGTTGGTTCATCTGGGTATTCAACTGTTGGAGGAGCTCGGGATTAGAGGCTACTCGGGGATTTGTTAACATTTCAGAAATCTGGCTCTGAGAGAGATATAACAAAAAACGATATCAAGGTGACAGACAGAATAGGTATGTTGCTGATCACCACCTGCATGAATCTGATGAATTGTGCTGCTTGTTCATTCTGTCTGGTTTGCTCATCCATTTGTATCGTAGCATTAGGTGCCTCCATGGCCATCTGTCCGAATAGAACTATCTATAATGCATAACTCCTGGTTTATTACACTCATTGTGTCCTTTAATTGATGCATCGCTGCAACGTCCTGCAAGAGGTTAGGATTAGCCAGCACCTGCAGAGCGAACACTAACAAGTGAGTCGGCGAGTGGGTCGTTTCATTCACGAGACCTACCGTGTCTAGCTGTGTTTTCAGTGTAATGAGTACTTGCTGTTGCTGAGACTGTATCTAATAACCCTTCAATTGGGAAGAGAGCTTGCCTAGTTCTTTACGAATTGCATGCGTTGCTGATGTTGCAAAGACGCCGCCATGCCTGGATTAGGAGCTGTATTCATAGGAGTATTATCCATCATGCCATAAGCCTAAGTAAAGCGTAACATTGACGACCTCCTCCAGGTAGCTGACTTCCGCCTGCTTACCGAGGGCATGGTAGGCATGGTTTGCATCATCTGGGGAGATTGCTGCTGAGTAGCAGAGGGATATGGAACCTGTTGATATTGCATACCCATCTGGGGGCCCATTAGCTGCGGTGCACTAGAAGGTGCAGGCATTTGCTGAGATGACATCTGCGAATCGAGCCTTGATGATACAACAACGCCTAATAATCGAAGATACCCCCTGTGGTGCAGGTGGTTGCTGTTGCATCGTGACGGGTTCTGGTGGTGGTGGTGGCACAGGAGCTGCTGATGTCGGAACAGGGGCAGGGGCCGAAAAGAAGGGATCATCGTATCTAATACACAACAATGCTACCATAACCACCAAGTTGCACCCCCACTCGTCATCCCATGCTGGGGCCGGAGGTGCTGGCCGAGGAGCAGCAGCAGCAGATTTCGAATGCTTCTTTTTCTTCGGGGACTTGGCCTTGGTGGACGCCACTGGTGCGGCATTAACTGACCTGCAAAGTTGGGTGTAAACAGGAACCGCTCCATCGAGTAACGTTCTACCCTCCAGAGCGACCAACTTTATCAGGTGGGGAATCTAGAACCTAAT